AAAAAAAAAAAAAAAAAAAAAAAAAAAAAAAAAAAAGAAAGTTTCTCTTTACATAATGTAAGCCTTTGTAGTGGTATCACTCATGATGTCAGGAGCCTGATCTTAATTGAGGACTAGCATTTGCGGTGTTTTATCCTCAGAGGGTACTAAGCCAAGCCATTCATTTGCAGGGTCAGGATGTGCTAGCTGGGCTCAAAGGGGATGTGGCAGAATAGGCTCAGTATTGCTATACATTATGCCCTGCTGTGGCACGCATCCTGCTTTTGGCCCCATTCTCCATCATCGAACCTATAGTTATTCTGGAGTCAGATATACCAAGGTAAGAATGGAGCTGGTTGTTATAAATATTAATTGATGAATTGATAGTAGTCCTGAACTGGAGGATTAATTGGAGACAGCTTGTTTCGGAGACCAGGCTTAACACTTTGTCCTGCATTCTTCCTCTTTCCGCTCTCCTATCTTGTCTTCTCCTGTCCTTTCTTTTCTGGAAGGTCAGATTAATTTCCAGCATTTTCATAAAACTTTCTCTGATTATTTCAAACAGATTGGGTGTTTGCAGTGGTACACGTCTAATCTCCAGGCCCCCAGGCAGAATTTCACAAAGAAGACCCCCCTCCAGGCTCTTTTCCCAAAGAATACCCTGCCAGCCAGCCGGTGGCACTCTCGCTTTGCAGGGGCCCTTCAAGCACTGCACGGCTTCTGGGGCTGCGCCTTTCTTTGGCTTAAGACTGGTTTCATTAACAAGCATGTTCACACTTCAACCGGAACATTTAAAATAACACCCCGCACAATGCATTTAGTGCCTAGTTAATTATTAAGTCTCTGGGCTTGAATTATTCAAGCAAAATTGATTGAGTTCAATCTTCTTTCTTCTCTTTGTGTGTGTGTGTGTGTGTTTAAAAATGAAAATAAAATCTCCCCTCCACTCTGGTGGAAAGTGTTATTTAGTAACTATCAATCCCTGGACTGTGGGTGGTACCCAAGTGCTAACAGAATAGGTAGAGAAAGTACTGGCAGCTTGACTCTTTTGTTAGAAAACATATCTGCATCTCATATACTTCCTTTGTTAATTAGCATTTATTGAGATCTAATAGGTTTTAGGTTCTTTTCTTTTAAACTTCTTGAGAGTTATTTATAAGTTGAAGAAGTAGGTATCTTGGTGCCAGTTCTTTGGTGTACTGCAGTAGAAAAAGCAGAAGGAATGGTTTCCGTCTTTGCTACTACACTCATGGTCAAATGAAATTGTTAAGATGTGTTAGTGTCACTATTAAAAATCATATTGGGAAAGAGTATTTGTTGACCTGGAAAGATACTCATACTATATTGCTAATTGCAAACAGGAGGCTATAAGACCATCTTTTACATTTTTGTTAAAATGCATAGGAAAAAGACTTAAAAAATGAACACCAAAATATTGATTACTATCCGTTAGGGTTAAGTTTTTCTTTTCGCTTTCCTATTACTTTTTCATAACTAGACAACACACGTACAAAAATGTCATGGCTGGAAACAACTGTCTGACCTTTTCTCTGAATCTAAGTATCACTCTCAAGAGCACATTGAAAATAATGCTGTTCTTATTTAAGCCGGGCAAGCATAGACTTGCTAACTGTAGATTTCACACAAAAAAATTTACAAAAATATTGTTTTGTGTAATCACGACAACTCGAATAACTTGTTAGCATTCATTTTTAGACTTCACGTCTAGACCTTCATTTCTATTTCTTCCTCGGCTTGGCTTCCGTTTTAGGGAGATGTAAAAAGATGCAATTGTGGGCATTAACATAGCTGCCCCATGGGTGTGGGAAAAGAATCAAATAATTGTATTTTGGAGAAAGACTACAAAGGAGATGGCCATTTAGAGAGGAGATAACAGAAATGCAATTACCCAGTTTAGCGATATTAATGTAAATGTGGGATCTTCCATGAGAATTTGTAAGGAGCGCTCTCCCAAAGCCAAGATTTCACAAAAATCTGGAAGGGCCCTGCAGGCATCAGGTGTCGTAGCTCGTTAGTGCTTTGCCTTTGCTGCCCAGATTCCTGCATTGTGCCACCGGGTTACAAATGTGTGCAAATAGGGGGTGTAGGTTTGGTGACGGTGCTGACCTGTCCTGATCCCTCCATCGGCTGAATCCGCTGCAGGCGGTCACCTTGGTCGGGGCAGCAGCTAGAAAGCCCCGGAAGAGACAACACTGGGCTTCACGTGGGGAAACTTTGGGGACTGCAGCTGGGGAATTCTGTCCACTGCGCGAACCCACGCATGACTTAGACGCTGACACACACGACCCTGTCCTTGTTTTTGTCCTGGGAAATGCCACGAGAAGTGCTGTCATCCGCCACCCCAGCCATGGTTCCTCTGGAGGGGGACGAGACCCGAATGTGGAGGGCGGGGGGCGAGCAGGTGAGGGGCGGCGAGGGAGGGAGGCGCCGCCTGTCCCACAGCCGTGGGGACCCGAGAGCCTTCAGCGACTGGGCCCCCCGAGCGCACGTGCGGGGCAGGCGGCGGCTCCGAGGACTAGGGGAGCCAGCCCGCGCCCGTCCTGCCGCCTCAGCCGCCGCCTCGGCCTCCCCCGCAGTCCTCCCGTATCCCTGCATTCCCCGAGGCGGCGGCCCGCGGCCCCTCCCG